GATTGCAGCCAGTGAGGATCTGACTGCTAATTTTCCTCTTTCAATGGTCTGGGCTATTTTGAAAAGAAGTTTTCTTTAATGAAAATTCCATTAACATTATTCTCTTTCACTACTGTTAGCTGAGAAGGTTCCATTTTCTTTATTAAAGAATCATTTTTCAAATAAACTTATTGTGACATTTACTTGTTCTGATTATGAGAAAATCTCTAAATAATGTGAGAAGAATAGAAATGTGCTGCTCTTTTTTTTCCATAAAGAATATTTTGTAAAAGACTCTTACCAGCTCCACCAGAACTGGTTTTGTGAGAGCCTTTGTGGCTTTCCTGATAGCAGAGCTGCTAGACAACGATTTTGATTGACTCGGAGTGGCTCCCTGACATCTCCCATTTGATAACTGATGAGACTGCACAGCCAGCTTAAAATGTTCAGCGCCAGACCCTCAGACTGTGTAAAAAGCCCTGGCTCCATTAACTTCACTGGAGATGTGTCTATTTACACCAGCTGGCATAGTGTGAAACGCAGCTATTGTCTGTGGAGGGAAGAGGATATGAAATGTCGGAGAGGCAGCCACTGGCAAATAGATTATATTTGACAACAAAAGAGGAGAGGAATGAAATCTCCATTACTTGTTTTTCAATGCTGCTATTAAATGCTCTTCCACTAACTAATGCTACAAATCCTCTTTTTCCTCCTACAAGCAGCAGACTTGTGTTAGCACAGATCACAATTTATAATGTGCTAACAATTTCTGAGGAGCCTTCTAGGGAAAGGCTTAAGGTAACTCTCAGGTATTTGCAGGTTGCAAGAAAATTAGACCAAAGATCCTAAAGTATTCATCCCAGATGATAAAAAGTCAAAATGTTTTTGTCAGTGGTAACAAAACAGCTCATGGCCAAATTCCCAGGAAGCCTGTGGGCCTACTGAAGAGAGCTTGATAGGCTTCTTTGCTGTGGCCACACCATGCTCTGGTCCAAGACAACAAAGCCCCAGGGCACACCATAAATGCAGCAATTGATGCCAGTGATTTCCAGCTGCTTGCTTGGTGTGTGACAATATCCCTAATTCTCAGCAACAAACCTTTTCTCTCTCTCTAAGCTCACTAATTCAGAGGAGCCAGTTTTGTTTTCTTTTTAGCAGATGCCATTCTCTGTTTCGTCTGCCAGGCAGCAAGGAACACATTGCTGATCAGAACATAGAGGTTTTTATTGCCTCCTCTCTGCAAATGCAGTAAGATATGACGAGTTATATGCTAACTTTATCCTTTCTGGCATTCTAATGAACTGGCTCTATGTTTTTTTGGCAGTCCAAGCTGCCCCCTCACTGCAGTGGAAGGGGAAAGCGAGGCAGGAGCATCTGTGGCTCCAGTCAGCTAGATGCTATTGCAGCTTCAAGCAGAGGAGGAATCCCAATCTTTTTCTACCTAGCTTTTTCCTACCTAGAGACCCATGGGATGCATTCAGTCCTCTCCATCACCTGATATGGGTCAGATTTATGAAGAAGTACTATTTTTGCAGCATTGAAAGGGGCCAATTTCAAGATCCCCAACACTGTTTTGGTAATGAGAACTAAAATGGTTGAAAACTGTGCTAATTAGGAGATCTTAACAGCCTTTAACTTAATCTTCAGATCTGTCGTAGGACATGTATGGGGGCATATGGTTTCATACAATTATAAATTAATGAGGAGTATGTTATTAGTGACAATGAACTCTTTGTGGTTTATGGTTTACTGAAGAATACTTTTTAAAAGAAGACTTTGTGCTCTGTGGGCAATTTATGTTGGAACAAGAGTGTCTATAAACTGCAGGTGTCTCATTAAATTCTGCTGGTGATTAGAAGAAGCAGCCATGTGCAGAGATGTTCATCGGGGGCTCCATGATTTGTGTTGTCATGCTCGGTTTTTCCTAATAGCCGCACACTGCTTAGCATTGATGCTCAGCTGCTGTGAGCACAACTCTGCAGAAATAGTTGGTTTCCATTCCGAGGCGAATGGCATGGAGCCAGCTATTGATTTATAGACTGACACATACCCCTTTATAATGACCGTGAGAATGTTTTCTACTTACCTGTTACCTTTCTTCAGAAGCACATTAAAAATAAGTTTCCTTTTGACAGGTGGAAGCGCGCAGCATGACACTTTTACTGGTCGCTTTCATAGAGAGATCTGAAAAGGGCTGCTTTATACAATGGCATTGGAGAGAATGGGGTTGAGAAAGTTTGTCAGTATTCCCAGTTCTGGTTAAATGGCTTTGCCTGAAGGCAAGATGGATACATGCCCATTTCTTCCCAGCATCGACATGTGTTTGAAAACAGCAACTTGGCGTAATGCTTGAGAAAAAAAAAAAAAAAAAAGAAAAAAAACCCAACCCGACAACACACAAAACAACAACCCTTTTGTATCTGCCACATATACTGCTTCTTTGGGGAGAAAAAGCAATAACATTCAAGCTTCTAACAAAAGTGGTACATGATTTAGAATCTTGTTATTTTCTTATTCATCTGAACAACTAAAAGGCACTTATTTTCATATTTCTACAGAGTTTATTTTATAATTCTTTGCTGGTTACATGACAGCTACCTTTTAAAATCTTTGTACCTCCAGGGTTTGGCTGGCCTCTTTTAATCCTTAATCTTGCAATTGTGATATGGGAGGAGCGGTGGGATTTTCTCAGTGCTGGGGTTCTGTTCGGGAGGAAGCGTCAGAGTCCCACCAAAAGGCACCTAACTATTGGGCTTGATTCCAATTTTTTTTTTCATGTTGAGGTCTTGCAGTGGACATAGATTTTACTGATATCCACTCTTGCTCCTGAGGGCCTTTTACAGAGCAGGACAGAGGGGTCCAAATGCGAATGTGAACTCAGGTGTTTTTTATTACTCTGGTTGTGTCCAGCACCTGGCACAATGAGACCCTTATCCACTTAGCCTGATAGAGACAACAGAATGTTTAAGATCATACTGTCCTAGAAGTTTGGATGGAGATTAATTCTTGAGATTCAAGAATTTTGCAGAGGATTCATCCTGCTGGCAATGCAACTCTGCAGTTCCTTGTCATCCTTGAAACTGTTGTTCTCTCCATGCCTCAGCTTCCTCAGAGCCTGAGTTGGCTTTGGCCAGGCCAGAGTGTGAAATCTGTGCTTCACCTTAGAGTAGAAGATGCCTGCAAAAAAACTGGGCAGGGCTTAGATAGAGACCAAATATATGCTTTTGGCTCCTTCATAGTTACAAAAAATGTGTGGGTGTTTGAGTAATATTAGTTAAGAAAGATCATTATGTTTCTCTGATTTTTAAACTGTGGTTGGCATTTTTGAAAGGCTGCATGCTGGCACTGGGTCATGGAGGTCACCTAGTCCAAACTCCGGCTCAAAGTAGGTTTCTCAGGGCCTTCTCCTGTCAAGCTTCAGTATCCCCAAGGATGGAGACGTCACAGCCTCTCTGGACCCTGTTTCAATGTTTGACTCTCTTTATGGTATAAAAGAGTTTTTTTAATATTGAGTTAGATTGTCCCATGTTCCGATTTTCACCCGTTGCCTCTTGTCCTGCCACTCCACAAAGAGTTTGGCTCCATCTTCTTTGCACGCTCCCATTAGCTGTAGACAGCAAGCTCTCCTTAAAGCTGAACAAGCCCAGTTCTTTTAGACTCTTCTCATAATGATCTTCCCTATTCTTATGCAAGAGACACTGTATTCTTTTGGTTCAGCTTTCTTCTGTTGGTGAAAAGATACCATTAACTTCTGCTTTCGTAGCCTTTCAGCTATTAAAGGCACAGCAGAATTGTCCATGGAGATACATGCAAGCACCCTTTAAAAACCCCTACCTATTGCTTTGGCATTGCCCCAGCTCTGCTCTGCGCTCCAGCATCACTGCAGCTTGAGAACTTGCACTCAGAGCAGATAGTTTAAATATTTATAGCCGTGTAGTTGCACACTCCAGCTACCAGACTTCTATCCAAGTGCCCTCAGAGGTGTGAGTGCCTGCCCTGAAGTCCCTGGTGCTTCCAGAGACAGCGTCTGACCTGGCTGACAGCTTTGTGAACTCCTGGACTACAAATTAGACTCTGTGCTTTGCTGTCTGTAATAGGAAAGGATGGAGCCTAACAAACTCTTTCTCTTCCTTTACGCTTTCCAGAAAAGCCGCCTTATTTTGTAGTGGTTACTCAAACAATTCTTATCTGTCTCCCACATGGAAAAGCAGACAGCGTTGAATTCAGCCCAGCAGTCCTTTTGCAGCAGGCCACATTATGAGCGTAGGCCTTTCTCAGCAAAGTTTGTGTGAGGCTGTCAAAGTCCTGGAGCTGTGGGAAGGGAGTGACATCAATAGGCGAGGGACTTCCATGGTGCAGCATTTGTTTTGTTTCCTTTCACTGCCCTTCTCGACATGAATGCGGCGTTCCTCTGGGGCGCCGGCCTCGCCATGGGAAAAGCTCCTGCAGCCCGCGCCAGCAGTGGGGCCAGCTCCCTGTGTTGTGCCCCCGGGACTGGGAAGAGCCCCAGTTATGAGAGAGACTTTCCCAGAGGAGAGACCTCAGGACTGGGAGCAGTGGTAGGGACCCCCCCTCCAGCACCCCATGAGGATCCATTAGAGAAGCGGCTTTTATTTCCCAGTGAGCTCCCACTCCAGGACTGGGAGAGTGAGCCCATAACTCGTTGCCTAACAATCGGTGCTGTTGGAGGAGAGGGGCTCAGCTACAGCCTCCAGCCAGCAGGTTGGCCTGATCTATCTGCTCGTCATCCAGATTCAGGAGAGAAGAAGAACCCATGCCCCTGAGCTCCCTGCTCTGTCCTAGAGCCGAGGAGATGTCAGCAGAGCCCCAGCCCCATTGCTGGCGAGCCAGGCACCATCCCCGAACCAGTGTCTGTGGAGCAATGGCCATAGACTCTGCCATGGTCCTTGAGGACATTGCGGGGTCACTTCTGAGGTGGTGCAGCCATGCATTGCCCTTCCCACAGAGGTTCCAGCATGGGAAAGAAAAAGAATCTCTGGGCTATAGTGAAATTTCTGTATTCTTACATTTATTAAATGAGCGTATTGCTCCTATTACTCCTACCTCTGCCCATTTAAAATGTGAGGAGCTCCCCACTGACATGAATCAAGGGCAAGGGCACACACCAAGATGCCAGTGAGTTATGCTGGTGTAAAATCCAAGTTGAGCCTTAAAACATGCTAGTATCACATGTGAATTCCTGTAAGAACTTATACAAGGGAAAAAAAAATGCAAAAAGAATTAAGTAGGACTTAAGATCTACCCCTGCTATTTAATGTAGAGTCCATTTGCAGGCATTTCAGTAGTGCTTAGCACTGTTCTGGCCGGCTCTTGGCTTCATTTCTTCGCTTTTGAGAGATATCTAATGAAATGGCAATGGAAATTCATGCAGTATACTTGCATTATCTAATGACTCTTCAGCGATATTGCTTTGGCTAATATAATACTGTTCCTCTGATATTTTCTAAGAGTTGGAGACAAGAATCTGATCCAACAAATTTAACTCTTTAATCACTTAAGAAAGCTCAGTGAGTAAAAATGCAGAATTAGATTAAGCATTCCATTAATTTTTCATTACTTCCATACATTCTGTGGTGCTCATTCATATTGCTAATTACTCTGCATTTTCCCAACTTATATAGAATATAATAAGAAAAATAAAAATGCCAGCCATTTATAGACTATTCAGTGAGCATTTGTTACATGAACTTAGAGTTCAACAAAGAGCTTCATGAGTATCTGTGTGCACACACCCTGCCTTTACTCCAAAATTGAATATGATGACTAAAAGAAAGATCGTGGTTGTACATTTGTAAAGGTTATTTCTTGTTCCTCTGTGTTCCAGTCTGGATACACAGTTTTGCCAGGAGTCGGTTGTAGTCTCAATCCATGTGAAAGCATATCTGAACATAACATTGGCAAAGCACTTACTTGTACATGTACATATCTAGAGTCAGATAGAATAATACTGGTATCATTACATTAAAAGCAAAATTCACTGGAGTAATTACATGGATATTTATTTAGTTATTGTTAGACACTGAGTCCATTAATCAAGACCTCATTTCAGCAATAAATATTTAGCCACTGATAACTCTCTGCAAGATTAGAATGGTGCTTAATAACCCCTGAAGAAGAGAAAAATTTGATACTGTATTTTTACAGATATTTACTTTCTTGGGATAATGGAAAAATCCATTTCCTAAGGACAATGATACAACCTGAAATGTCCAACATAGAGATGGAAAGGAAGGAATTAGCATATCTGTGAAATTTGGAGTAGTAAACACGTTCAGTTTTTTAATTTTCTTTGAATGGGAAAAAAGCAGAGGGCTTTAAATTGTGCAAATGCAGGCAAATGTTAACTCATAAATGTACATAAGATATTGGCTGAAACATCTGGTTTTTTCAGTTACGTACATTTAGCCAGAGAACCTCTTCTTTAGAAACAAAAAAACCTCTGCTCTTTCTTGCAGCTTTGCATGTCGTACCTTTAAGAGAATGAACCCATCCTGAACTTGGTCTTTTCCTGCTGTAGCATGAATCTTGGAGTGATTATAACCAATTTAAGCAGGATGGGGGTTTCTCTTTCTAACTAGCTACAAGCAGACCGCTAAGGAAGTAGCAAGGGAAAATGAGAGGTATTCACAACAGTCTCCACTTTGGATTACATGTATCTTGAAAGCACTAGCAGCTGATGCTCTTGGAAGTGATTATGCGCTGGTTCATACACACATCCTTACATTTGTAGTGTAAGGAAAAGGCTCTCCAGTTTACAGAAAAAAAAAAAAAGGATCTCCAAAATATATTGCAGAAGGCACCAATATTCATGGAGTTTAAAAGGGCTGAGCCATCGCTCTGCTGCATATGGGCCCAAGACTGCAGGGTCAAAACTTTAAACAAACCACAGGATTACGGATCATAGTTTTTCAGGGATTTCAGCATTTTACCATACTTTTTAACTTATAGACATATTAGCACTTTTATTGAGGAAAGCACTGCTTTCTTCCTTTTTTGGCTGACATAGGCTGTTACTAATTAGGGCAGTTTTCTGCATTTATGTAAATAGTAGTTCTAAAAGCTTTTGCTAAATTATTTTATTCTGTCTAGCTTTTAGGCTGCAGGCATCATTATAGAGCTGTACAGTCTACTTGACAGATCCTTAGACACATACAACAAATGGCTTTGGAGATACCTGCACTATATCCCCTGTGCTGCTGGTTTTATTTTTTGGTGTTTTTTTAATTTATTTTTTTTTAGGAATTGTGATAAAAGTGTGTGGGATTTATTGATGTTCTCTGATTTTTCAGTACGATGTCTCTTATTAACTTCAATTCCAAGTTCAGTTGTCCTGGATTTTCATTCTTCCAAGCAACTCTTCTTACCCTCTTTCTGAGTTACTGCCTTTTTCTGCTACTGAAAGCCCAGCAGCCTTTCTCCTGGTTTCACTGGGGACGATCCAGGAAAGTGGCAGCCACTGAGGCTCCTGCAGAGCGACTCCACTTACTGCTTGGACTCACTGCAGGTCAGCCCCCACAGAGGGATTTCATCCTTCATTTGTACTAGGTTTCTGAGAGCTTCTGCCAAAATGGGTAATCTGATTGTGTGCTTCCACTGATACTGATTATGGGGGTTTTTTACAGTTGGTTGTCCAGATGTGTAAACTGATATTACAACCGCAAGGCTCCGATGTTACAGCCTGATACTCGTTAAAAGCTGCAATTTATCACCTTCCTGCCCAGTACATACAACAATATGTCCTGCTGAAAGATGAGAAACGTGATATGTAGCTTCTGTAATTCTTTTTTTTTTCTTTTTTTTTTAAAAAAAACCTACATAAAAGGTTGGGCTTCCACTTTTTAACAAATTAAAAAAAAAAATCAGTGAGGAGTCCCTAACTCCTTCAAGTTTGTGATCCTATTTTTCACCTGTAGGAATCATTTTGTTCAGCCAATGTTTCTAATCAAAATAAAACAAACCCTTCCCTCTCTTCTCCCCCAGTCCCAAATATCTGTTGTTCTCTCTAGTGCTGCCTCCAGCAATGTATCTGAATGCTCTCGGAGGAGGGGGGAGTCTGTGAATTCACACTACAGATTAGTAGTCTCTATATGAAAAGCTGTGGTTATAGCAATGACCTGTTGTTCTGGGTTCGTCACTATGAAGTCAACCTCAAAACACAAGGGAGACCACGTAAATCCTTTGGGGCAAGGAGTTGTGCTGTTTCACATCACCCTAGTGCAGGGACTATTGCTTGCAGATGTTTTTGCGGAGCATACAATGCCAATTGGAGAAAAATCTGCATTCAAAATGTAGATGTTCTGTGAAAATCTTGAGGAAAGGATTGAATTTTTCTTTCCTAAAGATTATGAAGTAGACTTCCAACTGGACTCACCTCTTGTAAAATGTGGGAACAGACAGTGTATTTAGATTATTGCAGAGCTGAAGCACATGCTGCTAACGGAGATGCAAAGAAGGAATAAACAATGACTTAATGCCATTCCTGTTTCACGAGAGCCATAAATATGGGCAGAACGTTGCTGAGCAAGGCACTAATGCAGCAAGAGGTAGAAATGAATCAAGAGGTAGTGCCACTTTTATAGAGTGAAAAGGATTCAGGAACAGACTGACCAAGCAAAGAGATGGGGCTGAGATCAATTAAACAGGAACGGCCTTATTGGATTCAGTGGCCATTCCCAATGCAGCCAAACGCTATTATTGAACCTGTGTAAGAGGCATCATCTTTTTATGTGGTGGGGATGAACAGTGTGAAGAATCTTACGTAGTCTAGGATTTCACAAAGCTGCGGTGAGCTAAACACCAATCAGGGGCGTCAGTAGGCAGGAGCTTTGGAGATACCTGAGTGAGAGAAACCAAGCAGAAACCATTGCAGCCCATGTTAACAGCACAACCAGCACGCAGAAAATGAAGTGGGAAGCAAAGGTGACTTCAAAAACTGTAGGTGGACCTCCTCTTTTCTGGGTCTGACCAGTGGGGCTAGGTGAAAAAATCTCTGCAGAAGATTTTGAGTTTTCATAAAATTTTGCATCTTAATCAGGATGAAAAGTAAGCACCAGAAAGTGTTGAGGACACTAACAAGCTTCACTGAGGCAAAACATTGGCTTTTAAATTTTGGTTTCAATCTTCTCCTTTTTACTCTGCATACCTTTTCAGTATGAATTAACTAAAATTGAGAAAATGGCTTGCAGATTTTTCTGTACAGAAACTGTCAAAACTGAGTATGTTAGACATTTCAAAACTGACTTAAAGGCATTTTAAACTGAGGGGTTGGGTGTCGTGTTTCTTGTAGTTAGACTCTTGCGGAGCATGATAATCATCCTGGACAACTTTTCGTCTTCTGAGCAAAGCCCAGGAATGCTTCACAGCAGAATATCCCACTGATCCCTGCTAGCTGTGGCATTGCCACAAAGGGTGCCAACAGCCCTGGTTTGACAGCACACAGGGCTCTCCTTCAACACCCACCTGACCTGCCCGTGCCCTCTGAAGAAGGAGCCAGCCGGGTGCCTCTTGATGCCAGGGCTATTTTTGGTGGGCAGCCCTGCCAAGATGGTATGAAAAGGGCTTTGTCGGAAGGGAGCACCGGGCCATGGGAGCCTGCTTCTGCTCTTCACACACCTCTATAGACACTTCTGCCATAAAACATGGGTGTAAAATGATATAGTCTCAAATGACTGCGTTATGCACTTGCCTCCTTTAAGTGGCAACTAAATCAGTGTCTTCATTTTCTTTTCTTTCTGTCCCAAGGAGATAAAGGCATGACTGCTGTTTTATTCCTGTTTTGGTCATTGGTACCTGTGCTAAGTTGGTTGAAATATTTCGCTTGCTTCACTGGTAGTGTTTTTTCTCACATTTCCCAGGTTTTAGTGACTTCACCAGGTGCATGAGGGGCAGTGAAGAAAGAAGCCCTGTGTTCACGCAGCCTGTCAGACTCTCCTTGTCTTTGTGCTCACCGGTGAAGGTGTACCAAAGCCAGACTGCTGGCTGCATCAGTGATATGCAATCTCACAGCCCAGCCAAGTACAAATAACCCATTTGTGTCGCTCTTGAGAGGTTTCTGAGGACTATTCTCTGTATCCTGAAAAGAAGAAGTGAAACCTAATGACCTGGGAAAGTGTGTGGTGTGGGGGAAGGAGCTCCCTGCCAGGTGGAGGTGGCTGCAGCCAGGCCCTCGAGGTTTGGAGAAATCTGTCAAAGGCAGCTTCCCTTCCTAACTCCTGCCAAGGAGAAGGACATTCTGAGCAGAGTGACGTTCCAGCCACATTTGGCTGCCACTGGCTTTCATTTCACTATCTTTTTTCCCACCTGTTTTAAAACAGAAACATCACATCTGACAGAAATTTAACCTTACCGTTTGAAATGCAAACCTGAAACTGGGAAGGGGGACCCTGCCGTGGTGGAGCATACACTGCTGCAAAGCACCAAGTCTCTGCTTGGTGCTGGCCTTTCCATGATGGTACCCTCTGGGCTTGGGAAGGAGTAAAGAATTAATCACACCAGGGAAAAAGGAAAGCGATAATATATAAGAACTTCAGGATTTCCCAAAGTGTTTAGGGTTATATATACTGAGTTGCTCCTGACCCAGCAAAGATCAGTGCCTTCAGTGGGGGCATCATGTAGGGAACATGCAAACCCTGATCATACCACCAGGCTCTGTCACATCACTTGTGCAGTTGGAGATCTCTGTGCCTTCCCTTCCCGGGGGACCCCACGGATTTGCGCAAATAAGGTGAAGGAGAGTTACCAATCTCTGTGTCTCAGAAGGGTGGGTTTTGTTGTGAGGGAGTGGCAAAAGCACAGACATAAGCTGGTAATAACAGAATCACAGGACTGGGGATAAAAGGCTACTTCAAGGCAGGTTCATCCATGTAACTGCATGTACATCATTCCTGACAGGCACTCACTCTTGCCTGTAGTTAAAAGTCATGACTTAGGCAGACTAAAGTTTTCTCAAATGATCTGTTCCATAGCTCCACCGTTCCTTACTATTAGAAAGCCTGTAACAAACGTCTAACTTGAATTTTCCTTGCTACAGTTCAAGCTCACATCCACTAAGGAAATCTGGACAGGCAGTTCACTCTTATTTTCTTTTTATCAGCCACTTACTGCTTCTGAAGAGTGTTACTGTGCCTCTCTTTAGTCTCTTCCTCACACTAAATGCCAGTTAATTCAATCTTACATCACAAGTCAATTTTTCACAAAATGGGCCATATTTTTTACTTAATTTTCCTATTTTTCCTTCATCCCTTCTTCTCCGTCTTCACTCTACCTGATACTTTATCGGCCCCCAACTCTTTACCATAATCTGATTCTATCCTTAATTATTTTGTCCTCTATTAATTTCACAACATTGTAACAGGTCTTGTTCTGGAGTTTGGGTTTCTTCTTATTCTCCTTCACCTTCCTGCTTTTGCAAAGGATGATCTTAAAGCATTGAAACATTGCCTGGCTCCCTGGTTAGAGGAGAAGCATGGATTGAGCACAACTTTACCAGTCAGGAGCTCTGGTTTAGCAGCAGCTTGTCTTCAGTACAGCCCCAGGCAAGGCAGCCGACCTTGCCCTTCCTCTGAGCTTCTTGAAGGCTTGAGTGATTCCTAAAATTGTGGTGGGTTTTGCAAGAAATTAAAAAAAAATAGCATCAATCTGAAAATTTCAGCTAGTTTTGGGTAACTGTCAAGGTCTCAGAAGCATCTCATGTTTCTAGTCACAGGCAGACTTTAACATCACTTTTTAAAGAATCACCCCAGAAATTGAAAGTTTAAGTATAATTAGTGCTAACAGACTTCAGGGCTGTGATAAGGCTGAGGGGTATAAAAGATCAGGTCCTGTTATGTGTTTCATATCCACAAACCAGGATTGTCAATCTTAATATTAAAGAGCCTTCCCGAGCTGAGGGCTGTCACAGGCTGTTGGGGTTTTTCTTTTGTGCAGTTTTTAATGTCTTCATGCCAAAAACCAGCTCATGGGTATATTGGCCAGTATTGGGCCTAAATACATGCAATGTCTTCTGAACCCCTGTGTTAAGATTCTGCAGCCACTGCTACACGTTTGAAAGGCAAAGTGAATGATTTTAAGTTAATCGCCTACGGATCTTTATTCGTGTAACTGATTACAAGATAATGAATTCTTATTAAAATTTTCATTTTGTTCGTTAAAATATACCATGTAAGAAAACTCCGGGTCTGGATATTGCTCTGTTCAGTGCAAAGGACAGATTGTTGGCATTCCTGGGGAAATCTGTTCTCTGGCAAAGAATCGCTTCTTATCAAGTGCTCTGATGTTCAAGTGCCTGAGGGCTTGTTCACATGGGAAAATTCAGTGGCATTATTCATACCTCTCCACTGCAGAATATGAGTACCCACATGGGAACTCAACAAGGGTATAATTATTTTGCTCTAGAAAAGTCCTAAGTACCTTCATATACTTTCTCTGTTAGTTATGTAGTTAGCTACGGTACAGGTAATGCAACACACCAGAGAAAATGCATTTGGGGACATCAGAAAGGACTACTCTCTACAAAAGCAGCTTGTCGCTCCCGTGGCAATCCATTTCCCTGTTTGAGGTTGGCTTTTCACACAGAACACTCTGTCCCTACTTTAAAAAATATCTCATTCTATGGAGAAGTTAAAACAAAAACCATGCACACCCACCCATTTTTAATTCTTGATGTTAACTTTACTATATTTACACGTTTCTTTTCTTTTCCAAAGCACCATCCGTATGTAGATCCATCCTCAGTCTGACCACAGCTCTCTGACAGATGCTGAGCAGCGACTACGGCTCTTGGTAAGAAAACGGTGTCCTGAATGCTGATGGAGAGGGCTGGCACCAGCTCAGGAAAATAAGCAAGAAGAGAATCCAGGTAATGTAAAACAATTTCACACTTGAAAGGATATTAACAGGACGTGCTGCACCTGCAGCCATGAATTCCATTTGCATGGAAGAAAAACAATCTCTGCGCTGTAAATGTAATATAATGGGTGGGAGGGAGGGGAGAGAAAGCAAGCACAGGCTGCCTCACACACGGCATCCCTTAGCAGCGTCTGGGATGTGGCCTCTGCAGTCCTGCCCTTTGTGTCTACCCTGCCCTTTGCAGCTCTCGCTGCGTGACCCGAAGCAGGTGGTATAACTGGGAGAGAGATTTCAGAGTCCTCTGGTGCCCAGCAGCGCCCACGTGCCCCGGCTCGGCGCACTCCTGCACTGCCTTCTGCAGCTGCGCCTGCAGGGGGAAGGGAACCAACGCTCCTCTGAGATCTGGGGAAAACCAGCGACGGAATATTTTGTCACAAATTACCTGAAGAAAGGGAAAAGAGCAGATTGTTGACTTTTAGGAGCTGTAACTAATGCCCTGCTGCTTCTCTGGGGCTGTAGCAAAATGTCATCTGAATCCAAAATGCCTCCAGCCATTCCAAGAGGAAGGTGTGGAGCAGGAGCATCCACAAAGGCTATGCTCTAGCTGAGGAACCCCTGCTTCTTCTCAGACTGCTCTTACACTTCTGCAGAACAAGTGGTGAGGGTGAGGGGGTGGGAGAAGCAGCCTGAAGGCCACCGAGCTTTGCTCCCCCAACATCTCTGCTGCGATAGTGCCTCACCCCAGCACAAGATGGGTGAGCTATAAGACACCTCATCCCAGGACCAAGGCTCTTCTCTCCACTCCATCCACATATGACATCTGTAGAGTGGAGAATCACAGCCACCCCCTCAACTGCTTACACATGGACAGCCACAACTCCACCATGAGTGGAGACAGCAACGACAACCCCCTGCTCCTGCTTCCTCCACTATCCTGAGGCGTTGGGCTAACAGCTACATGAAAATGTGGCAAACAAACACTACCAAATATAAGGGTCTGTTTGCATGGTCTAAGATGGGATTTCTGAATTGAACTGGCATTTATGTGGCCAGGTTTATAAGCCTGACTGCCTTGATCTCACAGTCTCTTAGTACATACCATGCATTTTATAGTTGATGGGATTTTAAAAGAAATGGATGCATAAAGCAGCTGTGTCTACTCACTTGCAAGTTGTTATTGGCTCTCTGTGCTCCACATTTTCTGATTTTCAGGTTGCATTTTGAAAAGCAATCAAAAAAATTACAGTCTTCGTCTCCTGTGCAGTTCTGTTCGAGGATGTCCCTCATTTTGGGTTCAAAAAAGGCCATATCCACATCAATGGCCACCACCTGTGGATCAAAACAACCCGTCAGATCTGGCACAGCACAGTCCGTGGGACAGGGCTGAGCAAGCATTCCTGTGCTGCTTGCTTTTGGAAATGCTGTGCTGAGAGTATCTGCCAGTGGGGAACTGGGATCACAATGAAAGGGCTTTATTTCGCTTAACTGAGCTGCACTAGTTTTATGAATACCACTTTTTAAACAAAACCAGCTAATGCTTACAGCTCCAGGAAAGGGAAAATTATCTGTGGACAATATGTGTCCCTGGGGTCAACTGGATTCATTTGCCTTAAACTGGGACTGTCCAACTTGAAGACTGATCTACTTGTTGCAGCTTATGCAGATGGAACCTCCACCTTTTAATTCCACAGTCCAGATGGTATCATTTCAAATTCACCATTCAGACTAAACCTCTGACTTTACTGTTGTGGAGACGAACAGTGGGATGAGCAGAAGTACTTTCACACGCTGCAATTCCTGCAAACCTGCCATTGCATTCAGTGGGTTTGCATCTGTTCAGCTGCAGAAAGAGATCCCTGAGGTTGCTGAAAGTCATGACTGGCTTTGCCCAGTCCTGTTTGCTATGGTTTGACTCATTTACCGTGCGTGGTTCTTGTCCTGCTTGTCTTGTCCAGACATATGGGCCATAACAGAGTCCAGCAAGCAGGTGGTCTCAGCTGAAAAAGCAAGGACTGAAGGGATCAGTCAAGTTTCTCACCCCAACACAAGCAAATACGCAACACAAAGATGTCTGCAGAGCTGCTGCCTGTGCTAGGTTTGAGACCATTCTGGGACCAGAGGGCTGTAGTCTCAGTTTCTGCCAGTGTCACTCCACCTGTGAACACCTCACCTTAAAAAATCACAGCAATAAATGGGGAAAGAAAGGAATCCAGCAATGGGATGGTGACTGCTTGACGTGAGACGAGCTGTGGATGACCACAGTGAACACAGCCTGCCATCAATGCCACAGGTACAGCAATCAGTGGATGTTCTGAGCTGCAATTAACACTTGACAGTCAGGGTCGGAGATGGTCCCTTGCAGCAGCTGACAGATATTTTCATGGAGGGAAACATCTGGGACCCAGGCAAAGCACAGTTACTTGGGCTCAAATGATAATCCCATTTTTAAGATTCAACCTCCCAAATAACAGGGGAAGCTGAACTGTGTGGCTGGAGCAGCAGTTGGATCATCCCCAGGAACTAAAGATGTCTAGTCTGGTAGAAGGCCAAATAAACCTTCCACAGGCAAAAGAGAGAATGGTCTAATCTTCATTTTATTCTACTCCTTTTTCCCCAGGGAAAAGTCTTACAGAGATGAGGCATAGCTTAAAAACTCAAGTACTTCTAAGCTTCTTGGAGAGCTTGATAACGATGATGTAGCCTAAGGAATTTCACACGTTTAGACAAGCAATTTTTTTTTCTTTTCTTCTTTACTTCCTTAAGCTTTCTGCAGTTCGTTTCTTTGGAGAAGAGACAGCAAACATGGTGCAGGGTTTCCCCTGTCCTAGGGTCACTGCATCAGCTCCCTGGTGGGGTCTGTGCCAGCACTGAACACCTTTGACAATCTGATCAGTTGCTTCCTGAGGAAAACCAGCCCTGGTTCCCAAACGTGCAGCTTCTAAAGGGTCCGGTGGCTTCACTGAAGTTCATCTGTTATAAAAACGTGTGGGCATCCAGCCAGGCCCTGTGAAGATAGATCTGGGTGACACTCTACCTATAAACAGCTACATTTTGGTGGAGGTTGTTATGACTGCAATTGATGATGAAGATACCTACGGAAACGCACCAAGGACCCAGTTTGGCTCCTGACCTGATTTAAAGTCATGTTTAAGGTGCTGTAATCTTTCTAGTTCTCTCTGAGGTGCTGGTAAATGAGGAAGCTGTCCTGGGGCACTGTATATTCACCCAGACCTGCTTCCAACTCTGCCCCTTGCATAGCTCCCTGGCAGCTTATCATTCCCCTGGATGATCTACCAGGCAGGGATCTCTCCCCTCTGTGCTGCAGGAACAGCATGCAAAGGCTGGAATGAGGGCTGGAGGCTTATCCCTACCATTTGAAAATAATCCTCAAAGTAGAACTATTGAACTTGAGGCACATTTCTTTGGGCATTAGCAGTCTGGGATGAGGAATAGTGGTACTATTATGGGTATTTGTTATTATCCTACACAGAGCACAAGAAAAAAACAAGTGCTTAAAACAAACATGGGTGACAAAAGAGGCTGCCTTGCTGTGTCCCTGCTCTAGAACTGGTTGATAAAACCACCTAGGGTTTCTGCTCCTCTCTCTCCTTCCCTCTTGACTGATCAGAAACTGTCTCTGTTCCCCCCTGTGGCTTTCTGACTGTGTCCATCACTTGTGTCCCAGCCCAGTGGGGCGATAACAGATGATACCAACAGGCTGTAAGTAACGTACAACTGGGAGAGCCGTGTGTGAGCTGCAACTCACTGTTTTCAAAATTTTTATTAATCTTCCTATAAAATACTAAATTAGAGTACTTTCCTATACCAGAAGGAGACTGCTCTCTCTTTGGACACCAGAAGTCAGGGGAGGGTCCTAGAGAAGCAAGACTCATCGAAAGGACTCGTAAGGGAAGACTCAAACAATATTCTTTCTCTTTTCCTACATGAAATCTCTTTTCCTGTAAGTTGGCTGTAAAACAGGTGCCCTGGTGTGTGCTCCGTCAGTCACAGTGCTGTGCAACCGAAAAAGACAGGCGAAGCCCACCTGAGGAATCCCTGCCGTACCTCACTTTGCCTACATACTGGTGTGCTGCTTTACTTTCCCGCTGTGGCTCCTCACCCATTCCCTGTTCAGCTGCTGTATTGCACCTGTATAAACAACGGGAGGGAAAGGAAGGGTGAAGGGGAAGCACTCTAATTGCTCTTAATGGCTAGATGTTTAGGCCATGTTTGTGTAACACTCTGAGGATGTGAGTACTAATATAACACTCAGGGAGTACTGATTCAAGTCTGAAAAAGCTTTATGTTCACTGAGAGAGCAGGAACTCCACTGATGTTGCTGCAAACTGTGAGCCTGGTTCAAACACTTACTTACTGTGCAGTGCCTCCAGTCCACACACACAATTCCCACTGAAACCAGTGGAATTTCTGCCGGCAGAATGAATGTGAGGCAAATCCAGCAACGTGGTGCTGAGCTACATCACTACTTAGAAAACACACATAGCTATTCAGGCCTGAGTTACAGCTGTACAAAGAAAAGTCAAACAGTAACAGTACCAGAGAGTTTCATGTCACTGTCCTTGGACCTTTTCCAGACCAGATAAGCTGAACACTAAAGCACAAAGATGTGTTTGGATGTGAGGAGATCCCCTTGTGTCAGGCTAGAGAATTCAGCCTTAGCTTTCAAACTCAAAGAGTTTTTCCTTTTAGCATCACTGCCAGAAATAGTTGTCGTGATTCAAATTACAGCTTCATTTACAACTTTTGAGATCTCCCTGCCTTCAGAGGGTATCCCTCACAATATCCAAGGGACGCTGTCAGTGCTGCTGTCTTTGCAGAAGTGAAACAAATCAGAACTGAGCAAGCGGTTCTCAAAAAAAGCAGCCAGATTTAGTGCTCTGAAACTTGGCTGCACATATTACAAAGAGGAAAAGCAGTACAGAAGCTCCCTGTCCCTTGGAAATGCATTGGTTTTGCAAAAATATGGCCAAAAGTTGTACGAGGAGGGAAGCGTCCTTTTTACACAGGACACTTCCAGGCTAGAATTTGACCTCAAATTGCTGCAACACCACCCCAAAGACCCAACTTACCGTGAGATCGTGCCTGATAGCGAAGTTTTCAGGTTTGATGTCACATAGGTGAAGTCTGTGAGAGAAATCATTATCAAAATGCTGCACCATGTCCAGAAAGCTGAGTGCAATGTCAACGATGGCTCTCACTCTGCTTCTGTGGCCAGCAAGGGAGGGACCGACCACATTTTCCAAGGGAAAAAGAGTTTTGTGCCAGGCATGTCCAGCTGTGAGGTACTCCACAGCATAAAAATGTCCACAAGAGCCAATAATTCGTAGTACGTGTTTGCTGAAGTCCTGCAGCAAACTGAAGTAGATATATTCTTCCTGCTGGAGCAAGGACCACATGCTGGCCACCTGTGCTTTCCAACTTGGTCCCTTCTTCCTTGTCCATAAGGGTCCCATGGTATTGTTAGACAGTTCTAGCCCCAGGACATTTTTGACCTCCAAGGCTACCATGAGCAAAAGCTCCGTTTCAGTAATATCCTGTGTTTCCACCTCCTCTAGCATACCGAGATGCTGGTAGCTGGAGAAGATTTCCTTTTTGGATTTCAGGATGATGGGCTGACCTCTCCAGTCAGCCTGGATGACCTTCTTACCTCTGTCATAGTAAAGGCAGTGTTTGTACACCAACTTCTGTGCCACACACAGGTCTTCACAGAGGTCACCAGTCAGGGTTCCGCTGCTGTAGTCAAGACACTGGAGTGAAAGAGCAGAATATTCATAGCAGGACCATGCACCCATGGACCACTTAAAAGCAAGTCAAAGAATCAGCAATAATCCTAACGTCAAGAGTCTTGTCGCAGTGATTGTACCACAAGTACACACCTTCTGCAACAGTTGGGCTATTCAATGGTTTTTCAGGAGTCTCTGGAGACTTTTTACCAGAGGGAATCTTGCTTCAAAACAGGGATCTTGGGATGGTAAAGGACAGGCTTTTTGGGGGGCAAGGAAATGGACTAGATGACTGTTTAGGTTCTTGCAACATATGAATTCAGTGAGACAAGCTTTGAACACACTTGTCTGTGATATGTGAGATTCTGGGCTGCAACACTTCAAGGCACAGGAGATAATTCCCAGTGTAATTCAGGACTTCTCTGGAAGGTTCAGTGCAGCGTAAATGAGACATCCCCACTTAAGTTACAGGAAAATCCATGGGTAGCTGGATTGCTGGGACTTTCCACAGCCCTGCGTGTTTCAGCCTTGCACTCAACATGCCCTGAATGAAGCTGCAAGAACCTCCTTCTGCACTACCAGGAAACACAGAGGTTGCACTCAATGCCTCTTGGACCAAGAGCTTTTGGAGATTTTAAATATGTAAATGCAGTAGGACAAGATTACATTTCCAGTTCTTCTATGTGATTATCAGAAGTGACATTTTAATTGCTTAAATACTTTTAATACTTCTTTTTTTAATTGGAAAAAAATCAGCCCATGGAAACACGGGAACTGATGCTTGATAGTTAAGTGGTCACTGCACATTTGTACAAGAACTGCAAGGATTCCCTCACCAGTTCTTCCTTCAACCCATAATTGTTTCCATACCATCATTTCCAAAAGTGTAGGCAGTCAATATATTCCTGTGGGCATTCAGAAGTGCAGCTGCAGGGACTGCTTTGGGCGAATCAGTAGAGGGGATGATCAGAGGTCTCTGGTGGAAGGGGAATAGACTGTGGTGGTGCAGAAAGCCAAACATCTGGGAGGCGGCTTGAGAGCGTCAGCCGCCTTCATTGCTTTCTGGCATTTGAACCTTCTTTTAAACAAGTTGGCAGCTCCCCCTGCACGTGGAGTACTTGCAACAGCTGTCTGACCCCCACCTTGTTTGTGACTTGCTGTTACATATGCAAGAAACATGATCATAAAATTCAAGTGATGTGTTTTCTTAGGACAGTCTCTGAGGTGTGCACCAGAGGAACACATTCTGGATGCCAGGCACTGTTCAGAGTCCAACCTTAAGCAACACACTGGAGAATGGGTGGAGGATTAAGTCCAAAATCCATGAATGGTGATAAATTGACTAAACCAGCTCACCAAGGGCAGTTCAGACAAGCATAAAATATATTTATACTCTGATGGTCTTACAGCCCAAATGAGAACATTCAGTGCCAGCAAGGAGAGCCAGGTAGGCAAACTCTGGCATGAATGTCCTGACTCTGAGTCCAAGGTGGTGTGCGTGTGTGAAACACACACATCTGCCTCCACAGCCACAGCAGGGGATGCTCAGACAGACTCACTGGGCCATCCACAGACTTCAGAGCGTGCAGATCAACGTTCTTGCTTTTGCAAATCTGTTCCTACGAATGCAATATAAATTTATTTTCCCCTTTTAAGTAGGAAATGCAATTTTTCTCAACAGAAGTGGTTTAGCAGTTCCTTCCAGCTGGAACTCTAAGCAATTTCAGAAAGACTACAAACAGAAGGAATTTTTGGGGTTTTCTTTGGAACGTAAGTATAATCACATTTAAAATCATTGCTTTCCTATTGAGAAGACCACAACCTAACTCTTCTTCTGCTACAGTGAGAGAATATATGACTTAGTTCTGTAATTGAGTCCACATGGGTGAACACTTGCCCCTGTGGACAATTTTACCGTGGTCCATCAGGTTCACTCTTAGAGGGTCCATATGCATGGAAACCTTGCATCTAGAAGAACACATGCCCAGAAGACCTGCAGTCAAACACGTGAACATGCAGCTTATTCTCTTGTGCTGCCACCACGTCATTCTTAACGGCATTAATGAGAAAAAGTAGTTGTGGAAAAAACAGTCTCAGTTACATTTCCCAGACATAGGAGATGAGTCATTTTTGAACCTGGCTGCTGTCTAGGACTTGTCTGCTGTTCCGCTGGAACCCATAAATCTTTGTCTATTAACATAGTATCTGACAAGGAGTCTCTGAATTGGATTCTTCTTACACTGAACTTGTACAATGTTTTGCAAACTAGGATCTGTGAAAGAGGACTGGACCAGGGAGAGCTCTACTCACAGAATGTAGTGAGTTGTGAGTCTCTCAACGGCTTCAAAAATCTCCTCAGTTTCCTGTCAGTATAACCCAAAAGGCCAGCAAAGACTGACTGCACCCTTCACATCCTCCATAACTCATGTTATTCCAGCTTCTGGTGGTTTATGTTTTTCCATAAACATAATACACTGAGCAAGCTTAGCTCCCCAGCCCTCCCACTACAGTGCTTATTTTTTCAGCCCTCAGATGACTTTTGGATTTTTATTCCCTCTCTGTTTCCTCTCTGCATTTTTTGCACAGACAGAACTGAATGCTCTTGTCCAGTGCTGCGAAGATGGCCAACAGCCCTTCCTTAATTCTCCTTTTTGGAGACATTTGGTGATCATTTTCAGCCTTTTAGGCATGGACTGCACTGGTAGTTCATGTTGAAGCAATTATTTGACCCGTATGCCCTTTCCAAAGTCATACAGTCTTACAAGACAGTCTTCCTGTGTTTCCTTGTGCTCCCCAGTGTACTGTATTAAGAGCATTTTACTGTATTAAAACACATTTTAAGGGACTGCAAACTTTTAACCAGGTGATTCAGATTACCCTACAATGAAAAGTTGGCCTCTTCATTATTTACCAGCCCAGGAACCCTTTACACTAACTGCAAACTTTACCATACAAGATTTTATGATGACTGCTGATAAAAAGATTAATCAGGTCCCCAAAGAAATCTTCCAGAAACGGTCCTCCACACTGCCATCCTGGTCTTAATGACTGCATTTTAAAAACTGTTAATGAGACAGTTTTAAATCTAACTAATAAATGCCCTTTGAATGCCACCAAGTGCCAGATTTTTTAAGCTAAAATACAAAAGTGATACTAAGCCAAAAGCCTTACAGAAAAGCAACTCTACTACACAAAAATGCAAACATAAGCATGGTTTGGAATCTCTCATCTGTTTCTGTTTAAAATTGGCTACATAATTTTTAATATCTTTCATATACTTATCAAGAGAAGTTTAAAAAAGCTGGGTTTAAATTAATGTAAAAGTTTAAATTAATGTCACCTCACTCAGGATTTATATAAATTTAAATAACTTACTGTACCACCATCACTTTTGTGTAGATCTGCCCTGAGACTGAGTACTGCCTTGATATCAAGCACTTCTCCTGTGTAAATGCAATACTAAGCAAGGTTTTGGAAGGCTTGAAACCTATTTAATTTCTCCAGAGAAAACAGAAATTGATCGTTAGGATTTAATGTGCTCAGTGTAAATGAAGATGAGCCCCGTGTTAGGAAGGAGTAAGTGGTTTTTTGGAGAGATAAAGTTGGTCTCTGCAAAATGCCCAGTGCTACTTCAGCCTTCCCAGTGCTGTACACTTCTGCTCAGACGTACCTTTTACTCAGAAGAAGGAAATAAACCTTCAGAAATACCACTTGCAAGGGTGTACAACCATGCAAATTTCACCACTTGCTTAAAATAGCTCCTCTTATCTCCTACTGAAAATACGACAGATGACTAGTAAAATAGTTTTTCTTGGTAGCCTAATTTTGCTTAATAAAAGGTGTGAGACTCAAGCTATCAGATTATTTGTTTCATAGATCAATTGCACTTTCTATAACTACAAACTTCATGCCATCTTCAGAAGATTTATAAAGACTTATTTCAGGGCTGATGAAAATGAGCTCATTTTCTAATTGTTCCACTAGAAGGACAATTCCTTTCTAACTTCATCTGGGAAAACTGTCACTTACAAGCCTCAACGATACTACTGAAGACTCACCTGTGGAAACAGATGAGCGTGGCAATTTCATCTTCCTCTGGAAGGAGGGTCTGAAACTGAGCTATCACAGTGATGGAGACAACTTTCCAAGCTCGTGCCTGAACTCTGATCCCGGCCTGGGCTTTTGAAGTCACGCCTAACGCTCTCCAAGCTGAAGAACAGCAACAAGTCTCTGTCCATCAGTTCTCTGGCCTGCGAGAAGGCAAGGGCCTGGACCTCCCTGAGCTCAGCAGCCCCTTGCAGCTCCTCACCTCTGTGCTCTTCCCAGCCACGTAAGGAGTGGGCAGGATTCATCCCTTCGGGGCAATCCTGAGCTCAGCTGGACTTCACCTGACTCTGGGGTAAGAAACGGCCTCTCCCTGCCATTAAAAGCACACTGCCAGGACAGATGCCTGCAATTCCTCTTCCTTTATTACGTAGAATTCAGGAAAAAACCATGATCAGGTTCTGCTTGCCGCAGCAATAGATTAGTTCATTGCCATTAGGATTCCTCCCTTCCCTCCGAACCAGTGGCACTACAAAAGCCTTAATTAAGAAACGAAGCTCAAATCATTAACCAACGCTGCTCCTCTTTCCTAAGTCTGTCCCAGACAATTCTAAATCTTGTTTGTTTGTCTGTTTGTTGGGGGGGGGAGGTTTAATGAATACTCGTAAATCCTTTCTTGAATTTCGACTAACTACATCTTAAACGCCAGCCCCCGACCGACGTCAAGGAGGCGTTACAAGCCGGGTGGCGCTCCCGAAAGACGACTTTTTTTGGCACGAACACCTTTTCGGCTACACAAAAAACTAACAACGACCGAACAAACAAACCAAAGGGTCTTCGCAGGGGTCGGGATGCCCATTTGCCCTGCTCAAAGTGCACGGGAAGCGCGCCCGCGTCCCAGCCCCTGCCTGCACCTGCCCTCGCCCCGGGGAGGGATGGAGGGATGGAAAGATGGAGGGATGGAGGGATGCGGGGATGGAAGGGGGGAGGCAGCTGCCCCCCCGGCCCGCCGGGGCCGCCGGCAGCCGCCCTCCCGGTGCTCCCGGTGCTCCGCCGGTGATGTGGCACCTCCGGCGGGACGGAGCCGGGCAGGAAAACCCCGGCGGGGCGGCCGAAAGCGGGTGCTCAGCTCATCGCCCCGGACTCCCGGGGCTTTATCCTGCCGGGCAGCCCCCTCCCAGCTCCCCCCCCCCCCCCC